AAATGAAAATATGATCAAAGGCCATGTTTTCTGTGTGTGAGTGGGAGAAATAGAAGATGCTGGCCTGTATATGGAGAAGAATGAGGTCAGCCCAGAGAAAGCACAAAGATGAGAGTTTTAAAGATGTCAGGAAAGGGCCACAGCCTTCCACCACCCTACCGCAGAAAAGTGCTGTGCTGAGTGCTGAGAGGAACACAGAAGTTACAAGAAACCCATACTTCTGGAATATCTAGCTGGCAAAGACAAATATATGCAATCAAATATAAATAAGATTTACGCCAAGGAGATAAGCTTAAGTGCTAATGGAGTATTACTGGGATTCAGTAAAGGTCAGAATGAGTTCCAGATGACAGTTCTTGAACTGAATCTGTGCTGTTAGCCTTTGGCTCTATAATAAATCATATGCTTTTCTGTTTTTCTCTTTAGTAAATTCTAGGGGCTATAGGTACAATCTGTGAGGATGCCTGTTGATTGAATCTCAAATATCCTAATCTGTATGCCATCTCAGAAAATGGTGAAATGAAGCCTGGGGAATCATGATCTGTAATACATTACCCTAAACCAATGACATTTCTCAGATTGAAGTCTTCAGAGTACCTGCATCAAAGTCACCTGAAGTGCTCTTTTAAAATTGAGGTTCCTGGACACCATGGTTGACCTACTGAACCAGCATTTCTGGGGTTGGAACCAGGAATCTAAATTTTAAATAGGCATCTAAATGATCCTTAGGTACTAGCCCAAGATTTTGTTTGGCAAAACCTACTTACATAATTCTGATTTAGTCTAAAGATTCACAAGCCTAATGTATTGACTTTAGCAGTCATACCAACTTTAAGGAGACTTTATTCCCTGCATTCTAGAAGCCATTCTCAAATTGTGACTCCTTAAATGCTAGTAGAACTTTTCAGTCTCATATCGGAAAATGAACACCTAAAGTGTTTATAAAGATCTCCAGAGATGGGGTTACACTGACTTCCCAGGGCCATTCTTCTAGCTATCAGTGAACGCAATGTCAGAGTCCAGTTGCCTTTACAGTAACAGAGGTCTCTCACATGATTGAATGATACTGTGCTACAATCTGACCTATTTCCTCCTATTGCAACCTCAGGATCAGTGCAAACACCTTTGATGTCTTTAACTTTTGTTTTAGTCTTAGATTCAGAGTGACAAATTTAGTTTTATGTATCTTAAGAGGTCTGAGTAAACATTAATTCATAGTAATTATGCAAAAATAAATATTTGAAAGTAATGTGAGTTTTCTTTCCTCCATTTTCTTCATTGAAATCCAGTAAATACTTATTCAAATTTATATATGAAACATAATAAACAAATTTTTCCCCCAAAGTGTTGCTCCGTGGCCTAAAATACTATGTAGAGGCCTTAATCCTATTATCACAGATGAATATAACACTTAAATATCTCCTTTATGGCTGTTAAGGCACAGTAGGGTCGATTCATGCCCAGGGAGCTTTAATCACAGATCATCATGATAGTCGGTGAAGAGTCTGTTTGGGCTATCACTTCAATGGCTACGACTACTGCAGTAGTTGTTCACGGCAGCATTGCCAGCATGCGGTTCAGAACTACTTTCAAGGAGCACTTCTGATCTAATGGCTAAATGAAGGATCATTAGAGTATCTTTACATGTAGCATTTCTTGCAAATTCCATATTTAAAGGAAGCCAGTTATTATATTCAATGGATACAATTGAGATTGCTTGAGTGATGCTAATACAACCATGCACTGCATAACATTTAGGTCAACAATGAACGGATCACTTATAGGATGGTGGTACATAAGACTATAACGAAGTTGAAAAAAATCCCTGTCCCCTAGTGATATGGTAGCTGTCCTAACGTCCCAGCACAGTGCATAACTCATGTGTTTGTGGTGAGGCTGGTATA